CATCATCATCGCTACGTGTGGCGGCTCTATAAATGCCACTTTGCAGGTGGCCATGTGAAAGAAGATTGAGACAGAGGTAGAAGATTCGAGCACGCAGCGTTGGTTTTTTCATCATCGTCGCCACATGAGGCGCATTTGAGAGAAGTGAACGGGGAAAGAGAGAGAGATGGAAAATATTTTAGGTTTTGTAGTAGGGGTAGGCAGATGGGAGTGGTGGGTAAATTTTATAATATTATTAATAATTTAATTAATACCAGATTTTTTGTTAAATAAATTGATTTTTTATTTGGAAAAATTAAATACCTATTATATATGTAATTTCCACTATGACTATTTTCGGACCAAACCATTTACAATGGTTTGAGAAAAATACTGACTTATATATAACCATTTAAAAGGGTTTCAAAAAACTTAAACATAATACTAATGGTTTGATTCGATTTTAAACTATGATTTCTTTATGCATTTTTTTAAGTTCAATATAACGTTGCTAATTCATTAATCATAAAATATATTTTTTCCTCTGTTTGGACTCCATTTTAATTTAATAGTTTTTTCTCTCTTTTCTTTTCAACCAAATATTCTCCAATAAAATAATATTATACTGTAACAAAAACTCTTTTTTTAAATTAAACATTTTTCAAAAAAACAGTATTTCAAAATACATTTCTTCCCCCACAATTTGATTTTAATGGATGTTTATGGGCCGTTTGGCTTTCAATGTTCGAGGCAAGGTTGTAAGAAGGTTTGGTGTCTGAAATATGAACTATGAATGATGGTGGTTGATTGGTTTATCAAATTAGTGTAGATGGAAAATAATAATTGACCAAACTACTTAATATTTTAATCAATAACGTTATTTGTACATNGAGATTAGAAAGAAGTTAATATAATATACATCATCATTTTGTAGATTAATCTATAAATCATGATGTACAAATTGTCATATATTTATACAATAAATATAATATGCGAAAGAAATAACTAATTAAGATGAAGTGCCCAATTGATGAAAAATGTGAAATTTGTGTGGGAGGTCAGGTGTTCGAGCCACGCCTCACGCACTATATTAAAAAGTCTTTGATTGGGCATTGGGACCTCGGGCTCTTGGGCTTTATTGATTCTAATAAAATAATTATTATTTTTTTTAATCATTTTCGAAATTATTTAATGGGTCAACTAGCCAGTAGAATATGACTGTTTTAACTGCCCAATATTAATACCCATTACCATTAGCCATTACATCTGCAACTTAATACTAGATCATGGTGGAAGAAGTTACATCTCTTTCTGCCTGTATAAACACACTTTTGGGTATTAGAAAATGACAAGAAAAACGAGATTATATATTTCTATACAGTACCGTAAAAATATTGTTCTTAGTTTTACACATTTCTGGAGTACACTTGAGAGTTCTGAAAACCTTTTGTGATTGCTGCACAATTGATTTATTTGATCGTTGTATCCTGGAGGTGGATTGTCCACAGAGGTCGCAGCAGTTATCGACGGGCAATTTCACTTTAGGACATCGTGCTGTCACAAAACTCGATCTGTTGATAAATTTTTCTGCACTTTACTGTTAGTTTATCCAACACAAATAACATTATTTTATTTTAATAGTAGTATCTTATTTTGGAGGTTAAGATTTGGACTCATGTACTATTTGGATCCACTCTGGCAGGATTATAATTTTATTTATTTTATTTCTTATTTTTAATTGGTATGGTATAGTTTTAAAGCACAGTTACAACATCAAAACCTAAACCTAACCAGCTTATGTTCCAGGACTAGATTAAGGCATCCGAGCACAAGTTCGAAACTAGATCGTGGCTCCATTTTGATAATGGCTATGAAAATGAATAGGGTAATGATTTAATTTTTCTTTCAATTCAAGTTCTATTTCTATGAAAATTGTAGTGTTAGCTATTTATTTTGTGATTCGATTTGAATTGTGTTTCGAGTTTTTCTAGTAGCTTTTTTTTTATGTAGATTTCCCCATATTGTGGGGCTCTACAGTTGTTTGTAAAATATTTTTGAGTGATAACTTTAATAGATCGATCTTATCAAATCTGGACAGAATAAAGGCAAGGAAACTCCAACAAAATGGATGTAAAGCACCAATAAAATCATTTCCAAGAAATTGATGAAATAACACCAAAAGTCATAGGTGCAAAGTGGAGGCAAGAGTTGAACTATTTGTCCTTAAGTCTGTTTTGTCGTGCTACAATGCTTACGGATGATGGCAATCAACTCCCAAGATACAACGACTACCTTCTTGTATTTGTAGCACTCCAAAAACACAAGAACAACAAAACAAAAAATGGTTTTTGTACTCCCTTCCAATAAAATGGAAAAACAAAATTTTTAATGCAAAATTCCGACTAAGAAGAGATGGATTTTTATGTTATGCTATGATTGCATATCATTGTGATGAAGTAATGGGCGCCACGGGGTCTTATTTATGGAAGAGAATAGGATGTGAGTGTAAAGATACGCCCAAAAACTCAGCAGCATTCATGGAGGATTGCAACCCATTATGTCACTAGCCTACCGCTGATGCCTCGCTCGAGCGCCGTGATGTTATTTTATGCTGAGACTGTCGCTCGAGCGCCACAATGTTATTTTATGCTGAGACCAGTCGCTCGAGCGCCGCGATGTTATTACTAGCTCACCATTTGAGCGCTGGCAAGCAGTGGAGTTAGGCAAATTTCCAATCAATTTTTCCACTTTTCTTTTCAATTTTGAACCGCGATTTCTCATTCATCCAAAATTGGTTTTAAAATTCCAAATATATCACGACGATCTCCTCAACGAGTATAACAAATCACTGTATTTATTTTCATAATTTAACTATTGGATCAAGTCCGAATATTTGATCGAAATTGATACGAAAGTTATTTTGCCATGATTTTATACTCAACCAATTTTGTATCTTTTTAAAACCAAATTACATCTACCACATAAAATAACTCCATATATCGTCTTCCATTTATAGTTTTACGTTCACGACAACTTTCATTGTGATTAAGTCCTTGTTTGACACACATTCTTTCAAAATTCATTTTCAACCACACATTTTTTAATAAAATTATATTTTTCATCACATCAATAATTTTTCCTTTCTTTTTAACTACATATTTTTCATCATATCACTATTTAAAATATATTTTTTCCTCAATAATATCCATCAAAACCTCCCGATGAGGGTTTGAGAGAGGAATAGAAATGGAGGAAGAATTTTGTAAGTTTTTTGTTTGGGTTGGGGTGGGGTGGAAGATAAGTTTTAAAGGTTTAGGAATATGAGTGGTAAAAATAAAAGATTTTGGTGTAATTTGAAAAAAAATATACAATTTTTGCTTTTTTTAACGGTAAAATTAGCGGAATTGAACGGTATGGGATTTTTCGCACAAAATTTTTTAAATGGTTGATTTTCTACGATTTCCAATAAGTAAGAGTATATCGCAATTGAAAATGTTTTTAGGGGAATTTTCTGCTATTAATCCCATCATAAACTGTTAGGTTTTAGTTGATTTTGTAATTGGATAATTCTGTGAACGAAATGACTTAATTTGATAGGGTGTCGAAGTTCAAGAAGTAATGTGCAATTTGTTTAAAAGTTAGTTAAATAGGTTTAGGGTTTCGAATTTGGAACAAGGAGGAAAATGCACCGATTTTCACTAGACTGTCGTCAAGGGTTGGCTCTAGCTACAAAAACATAAACTGTTTCGCTGGACTCTCGTCCCTCCTTCGCTCGAGCGAAGCACTATCGCGGCGCTTCGCTTGAGCGACAGCTTTAAACGGGAAATTTTATTTTCGCGTTTTAAAGGCTTTTCTCTCGGCCCATTGATTTCTTGACCTATCTATTTATACCAGAACAAGTACAAAACGTTTTTTTTAAGGTTGTTAATTGAGAGAACTTCATCATTGAGAGATCTAATCATTCCATCATTCAACCTTCATCTTGTGTCAGTGTTTTGGTCAGAAAAACATCGGATCTAACATCCAAATACCAAAAGCCAAACTTCCTATATTTGTCAGAGGTGCTGAAGATCGAGGAAGGCGACTGGAGTTCCAGTCTGTGAAGAATGTGTTGTTCTTTGTGATCCACAAGAGATAGACGAATTTACAAGGCTTAGAATGCTGCAGGGTAGTAGATTTCATGGAGAGCTTTGGCAACAGTAGCTGAGGATTGGTACAGGAGAGCACGGGATCCACGAAGAGCTGTGAGGAGTGCAGTCGGGTGATCAGATAGTACGAGTCGACTAGTCTGGTAGACTGTAAATTGTTAAATTTGTTTATAGTGGATTGACTAGCAAAGTGCCCAGAGTTTTTGCTAGTTGAGTTCCTTCATGATCATTCTTGTGTTTGATTTACTACTTTATATTACGAATGAATGATCTATGGTATTTAAATTTTGGATTAAACTGACTCTATGATTAACCATATAGAGATAATTAATTGATGACTTGTTGATAATTAGTTAAAGATTTTAATTCCGCATATTACACATATTCACCCCTCTAAGTGTTGTTAGGGTCGAACTTGCGTTTCACATAAACTATAAGTTACTGCATAGATTTCCCTTTTTCAATCACACTTTCTATTTTAAGTGACAAAAAATATTGATGATTATTTTAAATACATTCTTAAAAATTATTGGTTAAGTTTATAAAAAATAATTTTAGAACTAATATTTAAATTCAATTCTATAACTTCAATCAAGAATAAGAATAATATGGACACAAAAAGTGTGTATATACGAATGAAGAACAAATACACCAATACAGATGCAAGTACAAAACAAATAAAATACTCTTATTATTCCTCTATATATGTAACATAAACACAAATAATAATCTGTATAATCAATAAAAATTATAAATATACTCTCACAGCATAGCCCAAAAAAAAGTAAAAGAACCCAATCCTCAGTCAGAACGAATCTGAAGATGACAGATAAATAATCTAGTACTTGATGAGAGCCAAAAGAGACAAAACCAATGAAGAACACACGATCGCCCCTGAAACCGGCAAGAAGTTTCCGGCACCCTGATCAGGAGCCGGCGCCGGTTCCGGTGTTGACACTTCTTGGGCCATTACAGCTGACAAAGTTGCCATGATTGCTACAAGAATCAAAACAGCCTTTAAATTTGCCATTGAAATGTGTTTTTCAACTCAAAAAATGTCGGAGGAAGAAGAAGAAGGAGGCTAATAACTAGAAATGGTTCAAGAAACTTGACTTGTGTTTTCTTGATACATTGAAGGGGGGTTTATATAGGTGGGAGAGGGGGGTGGGGGACCAGGAAAAGCGTCGACAGGTGGTGAGGGAGAACATGCCACGTTGAAGAAGAGTGAAGACAGAGGAAATTGAACCCAACAAGGAAATTGGTTTTCTATTTCCGCGTAAATTTCAATAGCAATGACTGACTTTTTCAGCAAAATTTCAATCCGACTAATATATTTCTATCTAAGTTTTAAAAAAATCAATTTAATTTCGACTTTCATAATTATGTTTCTTAGTTCTCAGTCATACGATAATTGATCTTTAACGTAATTGCTATGTGAACTGATAAATAAAAATGATAGTGCTAAGGTTATAATAACGATAGCTTTACAGTAAAATATTAGAGGACAATTTTATTTTATTTTGACAATGTCAAGTAGACTAATGATACGTTGGGACCAAATTTTTGGGAGTTTTTTATTGATGCGGGCCCCGTGCACATGTGAAAGGGTGTAACATTTTCGGTAAGTCTCATTCGGTACAAATAGTTTTATCCATGACTAAATGGGATTAAGTAATTTTCATCAATTTAGAAAATAGTTGATTACATAATGATGAAATATTAAACTAAATTGAACTTAATGACTTACCTAAAATTAATAATTGAAGTTCAATGACCCAATTAAAATTTCACCAAAAATAATTGAAGTTCAATGACCACAACTGAAATTTTACTTGTTGTATGAGAAAGACCAATGTTATGAAAATGATTCAGCTCAAAGGGTTGATTCTAGATCGAATGGAAGTTAAACCCCTGTTCGTCTATCATTATTCAATGAAAATAAGTTTTGGAATAGTAAATTTTTGAATAATGAGCGGTTAAAAAATAGAAAAAAATTGGGTTTACGCACAAAATATTTTATTATAACAATATTTGGTTGAAAATGAGTTTGAAAAAAAAAAGTTTTGAATTAATTGTATACAAATAGTGACTAAATTAGTGATAAAAATATGTTAAAAATTAAAGATAACATTTTTTATTTTTATTTTTGAAGAGAGTATTTTATTGAATTTTTATTTTTATCATACAAAAATCGGACGAATTTAATTTAATTTTTGGAGACAAGGCCACATGGCAACCTATGTTGGTTTAGTCGTTTAGCTAATTTTGGGGTTGGTGCAGTTATTTGTAGAATAGGTCCCATGGAACACTTACTTATGTTGAATTTAAAATGAGTTTCTTTTGTAAAAAACGCGTTAGCTTTTATCAGCTTTTGACTTAAGAATAAACAGTTTTTTTTTTCTTGTAAATGTGGGATATTTTGTTTCCAAATAGAATATGTCGTTTAAAAAAAAGGGGTTACGAAATTATTTTATTGAGATATGTGTAATTAAGAATAATTAAGAAAAAATGAATTTTATAATACGGAGCGGACTTTCAATTTATGGATATGATAACAAATTGATCTTTAACTTATTTTTGGCAAAGATCCCAAATTTTAGTTTGTGTTAATTTAAGTCATTAAGGACAATTTTCGACTATTTTGCTGTTAAGAAGACACTTGACTCTCATGCCTAAACAATTAATTTTTATGGAAAATAAGTAAAATGTCATGTAAAAGAAAAGAAGAGAAGGAAACACTTACCTGCTCTCTTTTGACTCAAACCCTTGTCTCCTCCTTAAAATTGTCACCCATTCATCAAAACCAATGAAAATTGTTGGCAGTCATATTGTAACCTAATCTTCTACGTAATCGCTATATACATCAAAACCAATGAAAATTGTTGGCAGTCATATTGTAACCTAATCTTCTACGTAATCGCTATATAGTACCTTAGAAACAAATACAGTAAAACAAGTTTCACAATTCTAACAAGATTTTTGTCAAATTTTCTTGGTAGTTTGCAAAATAAGAGTTCATGACCCTAATTAGAGTGGGCAAATTGACAAAGAGCAGCCTGAATGTACCCCTCTAAAGGAGAAAAAGTTCAATATGACGGTCTTATTAAATACGTGTTAGGACTCACTATTTAAATCAGGTACTTTGGATTTCGAATCATTAAAATCATTGCTAATCGGCATCCGAAGTGGTAAGATAGAGAATCAAGTGAACTTTGGATGTCGATGTGTCATTATTTGAATGGTTCGAGATTCGAGATGTCGTGATCTAATTGACTGATCATCCTACTATGTATGCACATAGGATGATGAGATCCATGGTATGAGAGCTAGCGAGAATAAGGATTCGTTGATTGTGGAGGAAGGACCAATGACTAGATTATGAGCAAAGAAGCTCAGAAAAGCTATGAGATTACTTGTTCAAGTTACTGTGAACAAGCAAAATGACAAATTTCAAATTGAGTATGGAAGAAGAAACAAGATGGATCAATTTAGTTCAAGCAACGAACGAGGAAGTTGAAAGGAGTAACTATGCTACTCGAAGGAGGAGGTCACGATGGGCAATATTAAAATGACAATTCCTTCATTCAAAGGAAGGAGCGATTCGAAGGCATATTTGGAATGGGAGAAGAATATAGAGCTTATATTTGATTGTCATAACTATTCGGAGGAGAAAAAGGTAAAACTTGATATCGTTGAGTTTACTGATTATGCTATTATTTGGTGGGATCAAATAGCAACATCTAGGAGGAAAAATCATAAGAGGCCTATTAGGAGGAGAAAAAGGTAAAACTGGATATCGTTGAGTTTACTGATTATGCTATTATTTGGTGGGATGAAATAGCAACATCTAGGAGGAAGAATCATAAGAGGCCTATTGAAGCATGTGGAGAGTTGAAGACTATCACGAGAAAAAGGTCTGTCCCTAATAATTACCATAGGGATCTTTATCAATAATTACAAAGCATTTATCAAGGATCTAGAATTGTGGAGTATTATCACAAGAAAATGAAGATTGTTATGATTAGAGAGAATGTTGAGGAGGATCGGGAGGCCACCATGATCCGATTTTTGAATGGTTTGAATGTGATATAGCTAATGTGGTATAACTACAAAATTATGTGGAGTTGGAGGACATGCCTGGTAGATTACTACTCATTCAAGGCATTGAGTATCAAATTGACTTCGTACCGACGGACCATCGCTAGCTTATCGTTCGAGCGACTGGGTTGTCCGCCTAGACCCTTTTCACGTTTTAACATGTTTTTGGCATTCTACTTGAATTACAACTCTTCTATTAGGGTTTGGACGTCACTCTACATGTTCCCTATAAATATTAGACTCTTCTATACAATTTTATAATGTGAGAGAAGTGGTTACTAGCTTTTTAGGATCATTTTAATATTTCTCCATCTTCATTATTTGTGGTGCAATAAAATTTCTTAATTCCTCTTTCATTTCTTTTATTCTTTTACTTGCAATGATATACTTCATATTTTGCCACAATAATACTCAGACTCTTCGAAATAGTTGGAGTACTCGTACTGGATACGACACGACACGACATGACATTGGTATGGATATGGATATGGGATGTGTCGGATCCTTTAAATTTCAACCGGACACTTCGNGGTATGGTGATGGGATATATGTCGGATCCTTCAAGTTTCAACCAGACACATCGTCGTTTTTGCTTCTTCTTCCTTCTTTTTCTTATTTATTCTTTATTTTTTCCTTTTCTTTTCATTTTCTTCTTTCCCACTTTTGCTCTCTATAAGCTTAGCGTTATGGCCGAGAGGGTGGAGAAAGACGACTACACTAAGTTTTACTTTCTTTTTCTTCTTTCTTTTTTCTTCCCATTTTTTTTCTTTCTCTCTCTTTGTATCAGTGGCTTAGGATTTTGTTTGTATAAAATGAAAATGTGTTCTATATAGTGCAAATTACAATCAAATTCCCCATTTTCTATTTTATATAACATTTAGTAATTCCCACAATTCAAAACTAATCCTCAAAATTCTATTTTATTCGTTTTAACCCCTTATTAAATACTAATTTATTTCATTGTGGATAATTAATTTTGGTTTATTCAAAATGACATCTTAGATTAGTAAAAAAAATTAGAGTTTGAAAGACGTACCCGTGTCTAAAATTTGGATTATTTTTAGCCATGTCCATATATCCTACATTTTAGAAAATAAAAGATCTGACACTTAGATTCGTACACGTACTCGATACTCGTATTCGAGTCCGAGCATCATAGTGTCATATAATTTCAACATCTCAATCCAGTGGTTGATTTCGTATCAAGTGGTATGGAGTGATACGTAATCATTGAATTCCTAACAATTGGTATCAGAGATTTTGGGAATAATTAACATAACACACTGTCAAAAAAATTGTCAACATTAATGTCATTGTAGTGGGACTGAATTTAAAATATGATATGCTTGTGCAGAAGTGACAATCAATTTTTCAGTTCTTCATGTTATGATGTGGCAGCTAAGGTCAATGAGTACTATAAATTTAATGTGATTGTCTTGCTTCAAATGAGTTCAAGTATCGAGAAGGATGTCAATGAAACTTGGGGAAGTAAAGTCCAGGTTTTGTCTGGCCTTGATCAATTAATTACGAATTACCATTGGAACTTTCTTGTTATGAAGATCTTTAAGAGTGATTGGTGAGACAAGTTTCCCCTTTTGCTTTTCTTAATTTTATTGTTTTAATACGTCATTTGTGTTGAAGGACTAAACCGGCATTTGTGCAAAATAAAACGGCATATTAATTTTCATCTAACCAAGTTTGCACTTTGGTTGCAAATTGAACTTCAGCGATTAAACTATTTTATTTGCAGTCTAGTTGCCAATTCAAAATTAATTAATGAATTCTACGATGTTGATTGAGATATACAACTAATGGGGGCCGGAAAAAAAAGATTAGATATGTGATTGTAAGGATGAGATTTTAGATAGCCTGCCTTTCATTTTCAATATATGGGATTGTCCAGTAAAATCAATGTATCATGATGTTCTCGTATTCCGTGCTTTTCGACGCATATGCGTGCATTTGCTGTTGAAATTATTCAATACAATCATACTAAGAATAAGAATCACATAGTTAAATGATAGTTCGAAATTCATATCCGCGGAAGACATTATTATAAATGAATATTACCAGCTAGATCTTCCTCTCTTTGCTCCTCACAAATAATCAACCGTCAATGGGGCAAACCAAACCATATGGAGAGGAGATGGGATCTAGCCATTATATAGGAAATCATAAAGTCGGCCCATTACCGACTTTAACTCTAATTAGGATTTACTTAATTACGGCCCACATACTTAAAATTACCACATTATAAATAATAAAATCTGTAAGGTGTACAACGACCCACGTGATCACTAGCATATTGGGTCTAATCACAGTATCATTGCAAATCATACATTTAACCCATAAAATTCGCAATCAAATGGAAGCTCACATAATAAAATTATTTTAACATTCTCCCACTTGAGCAAACATTTGATTGCTATAGAACAAAACTTTTAACCTCCGGGTCAGACTACATAGGTGGCCACACAAGTATAGCTGCAATGATAACACCTTGCACAATATGATCCAGTCCAACAAGAATGTTAACATCGAACATGCAAGTTGTTACACCAATCAATGATGTAAGACCACTCCACAGCTACAAGCCAAAATCTTTATCGACATGGATCCCCATCCTCCAACTAATGTGGTAGTATACAGTGTGAATTTAGCACCAAATATTATCAAAATTGTACTAATTCATATCGGTCATCAAAATGCTTCTAATCAAAATGAAGTCACGTGTCTCTAAAAGATATTCATCTTATGTCTTTAACTGTCATATCTCAAGATCAAAATAATATCATGATATAAGACATAAGTTAAATGCATACTCAAAATAATTTATGGATATGGAAAAATATATTTTATTATTGGAAGGGGCTATACCTGAAGAACATATGGATTGCTTTACATAAATAACTCCCATTAACCAAAAATATCAAAGGTTTCCACAGTACCCATATTAGCAACATGTGTCGTAAAAAATTTAGGAGCAAGTTCCTTAGTTAAAGGATCTGCAATCATAGCCTCCGTATTAATATGTTCTATTTTCGTCTACCTTTCCTTGACTCTGTCTTTGACCACCAAATATTTGATCTCAATGTGTTTCGATCCACTAGAACTTTTATTGTTTCTTAAAAAGAACACTGTTGCGCTATTATCACAATAAATAGTGATTGGCCTCGAGATGGAGTCAACAACTTTCTGCCCAGAATCAAAGTTCCTTAACCAAATGGCTTGAATTGTAGCTCCATAACATACCACAAATTCAACTTGCATAGTAGAAGATGCCACTAGAATTTGCTTAACATTTTTCCAAGAGATATCACCACCAGCCGACAAGAAAATATAACCCGAGGTGAATTTCAAATCATCTTGACATCCAACAAAATCAGAATCTGAGCAACCTACCACCTCAAGGTGATTTGAACGTTGGAAAGTCAGCACGTAATTGTCAGTTTTTTTTAAGTATCTCATAACTTTTTTAGCCACTTTCCAATGCTCTTGCCCTGGATTCAACTGAAACCAACTAAACCAAATCACTGCTTGCAAGAGATAAATAAAATTTCTCCCACTGGTTTTAAGATAAATGCATTGATCAACTGTATTTTTAACAAAACCAAGAGAAATCACAACATCGTCAAACTTCAAAAATAACTTCACTATTCCTATGAACTCAACCTTCATTTGAACTTCATTCCCAACGCACAGCCTTACTTCATTCTCACTTGGCCTTCGTTTGCTCGTGAATCCCTGCGGAACTCTTCTTCCTCTCCAACTAAATCTTAAACTTAAAACAATCCTTCTGTCAATGACCCTTCTTCTTGCAGGACTTGAATTGATCATTTTTCTTTATCGCTCCTTTGAAACCATCAGAAGTCTGACCTCCAAAATTTTTGTTCTGCTGATCGCGGTGTGTCCCTATTGTGGAACTTAGACTCGTGGTTATGAAAATACCCCTTGTTTTATGGTGGCTGAAAAGCTAATTGTACAGTTTCGACATTTTCACGCCTCAACCTATACTCCTCTTGGGCTCATACAACAATAAGGTCATTCAAATCTCATTTATCTCTTTAAACATTATAAGCAACCTTCAACTGATTAAACTGGCAAAAGGCTCACAAATGGGATCCTAAGAGCCTTTAATTTAGAAGATATATTAATCATTTTCATAACGTGCTCCCTAACTCCACTTTTACCTTCATATCTCATTCATCAGATTGTCCATCAGATCTCTAGTTTCAGCTTTATCAAACTCAACAAATCTCAACCCTATTGCATCTACAAAACCTTTAACATTTTCATTATCTAGAATAGCACCCATAATGGAATCGGATATGGAGCGCTTAATAATTTTCAAACAAAGTCTATTAGCCATCTCCCACTTTTCATACTCAACTTCATATCCAGGATCGCTTTTATCTGTTGGTTTCGAAAGTTGCTTCTCTATTGCAAAACTCAACCCCAAAAGACCAAGTGATATTTCTACGTTTCATTTCCATCTCACATAGTTATTCACAGTCAATGTTTCAATAGCAAACAATTGACTCGAAAGAACTGAGACATTTAAAACTGTGGAAACCTAAAATAACATGTTTAATATCATCCAAATATAGTGCATGCCGACAATGGATGATAACATATTCATCTAATTAACATGGGCTAAATAATTAGATAATCCGTAATTAAAGTCAAAACAAATTAACATTATTACGGTAAGAACCTAGATGCATCATTATAAAGTCACATTTGGGCTAACAATATAACATGCTGTAAGGTACTCTTAAAACAAAAAATCAAATTAGTTAACAAAATAGATTGGTTTTCGAAACATCATCTTTGGGCAGAAGGAGATTTCTAGACCAATTAAAATCGTTAAGGGTCCGTTTGATTGCAATGGTGAAACATGGATGGAAAGAAAATGAATTTCAGGAAAAGTAATTGTCTAGAAATTGTTTTCCAGAGAATTGGAAATTAAGTGTGTTTGATTGATATAATTTTCCATCCGAAAAATTTCTAAATTTTGTGTTTGTTTGACTTTATTTTACATGAAAATTATTCATGAAAGTGATAATTTTTTTTCACAATTGGTTATACAATTTGTTTCCATTGCCAAAAAGTAAAAAAAAAAAATGAAAATTTTTTTCCTAAAAAATTATTTTTTCCATCAAAATTTAATATTCGTTTGGTTTTGTTTTACATGAAAATTGTCAATTAATGTGAAAATTTTTTTTACAATTGATTATGAAATTTATTTTCATTGCCAAAAAAAATAAAAAATAGCAACATGGAATTCATTTTCCCACCAAAAAGGTGGGAAAACTAATTCCACCAAATCATGGAATTGGCACATGTGTGAGAGAATTGTGGAAAAAGTTTTCTAGAGAAAATTTGTACCATCAAACATGCCAAAAGATGGAAAATGAAATTTTTGAATTCCATTTTCGATGGAAAATATCCCATATCAAACACACCCTAACTATTTTATGTCAATTTCCAAAAAAGATCACATATAATAAAACATTTGGACAAAATACTATATGTAATAATTCAAA